ACAGCTTCGAACACGTCTCACCGGTCCACCATCCCAACCCGGAAGTCGGGCATAGTGGTTTTGAGTGATGGACTATGACTCTGGAGACCAGGGTTCAATTTCCAGCTCAGCTTCCTCTGAAAACTTCCTCTGAAGAAATCTTCTCAAGAATCCTCATGATAGCTTTGCCTTAGGGTTGAAGGTACACAACAGCAACAACAACAACCAGTTGCTTTTGAGAATGGGCAGGGCAAAATCCATCCAATTCCATGTATTTTAAAACATGTAAGCATATATAGGGTTGCACTACAGTCGTCAATTCTGATTCCTTGGGATCCACTCTGGACCCCCCCCCCCCCCGCCCCCACGAATCATAAAAATTGCAAATATTGGAGCCCCATTGTTTTTAATGGCCATGCAGCCCTGTGTGCAGCATTAGCACGCGCTGTGGCCATGGGCACCATTTTGTCCCTCCTGGCTTCCCGCCCACAGAAATTCAAAACCACTAAAGTGAAGTCAGTCAATCTGGAAGGAAGATTGTATAAGTATTTCTAATTTATGTTGAAGAGATTTTGTAATTTTTTCATTGAAGTCAGTTAAACTTATATTTGACTGGACTGTGTGTATTTTTTCAACTTGTTTTGATGCTACAGTAAAAATATAAAATTTTATGTGTCCTACTCTGGAATCTATTTGGGGATGAAGGTTCACTTTAATTTTTCAGAGCAAGTAAATAGATCGTATATCCTTACAAAGTTAGTAGCACATGCATCAGAATGCAAACAGTACGTCAAGGAGAGCATATATGTTTTTCATTCCATTAAAAGGTCAAGCTACAAAGAGAAGGGTGTTTGTTTACTTATAGTAGGCTTGAATCCAATGGTTTGAAAATCCTTTCAGCCAGTGCTTGAATGGGTAACTACACTGGGGACCCATTTTTATCCCCAAGTCTTAGTGGACTGCGTCTCTGCACCAATAAAAAAACCAGAAAGAAACATGTTACTTCCAGTTTCATTTTTTGTCTTATTGTTCTGCTGTTCCAAAGCTTTGGGGCCTTCAGTTTGCCTCTTGACATTATTATTATTATTATTATTATTATTATTATTATTATTAATATCCTGCCACTCTGTCAAACAATTGGGGCGGCTTACAGCAGTTTAAAACTTCATACAATATTAAAATACAATCCCAAATCCCACAACCCACCCACTCCTTAAAAGAAAATTAAACTAATATTAATGTTAAAACATGATGGTTAAAGCACTAAATTAAAATGAACAGTCCTAAGACCAACAAAAGGACTTATGGCCAGCTCATGGATTTCATAAGGTTTTCTTAGGTAAAGAATACTTAGAGGTGATTTTGCCAGTTTCCTCTCAGAAATACAGCCTACAGCAGGGGTAGGCAACCTTTCCCCTTTAAGGGCCGAGGGACTTCAACTCCCAGAAGCCTCAGCCATGTTGGCCTATAGTCCCATGTTGGACAATAGCTTCTGGGATTCTGGGAGCTGAAGTCCCTCGGCCCTTAAAGGGGAAAGGTTGCCTACCCTTGGCCTACAGCATCTGGGATTTATTGACAGTTTCCCATCCAAGTACTAATCAGGGCTGACCCTGATTACCTTCCATTAGTGCGCCCCTCATATCCCACACTGTATTTGGGGTATCTATGTTTTCATATTTCATTTCTGGAACCAGCATGTTCTCAAGAGGTCACAATGACTTTTGGAACAGTAGATGGATTTCCCATGAGAAAAGAGTGAAGACCAAAGACATGGGTATGATCCAGATGATGCTACAATCACAACTAAATGGGGAGTGATGACTACTTCCTCCCCCCCCCCCGGCCCTTTTGTATTTCCTTTTGCACCAAAAGTTAAAGGAGATCGCATTGCACTGAGCCCTGGTGGTGCAGTGGTTAAATGCCTGTACTACAGCCACTCGCTCACAAGCCATAAAGTTGTGGGTTCAATACCAGCCAGAGCTTTAGGCTTGACTCAGGCTTACATCCTTCCGAGGTCACTAAAATGAGTACCCCATTAGCTTACACATTGTAAACCATTTAGGGTGTGCTTAAGTGCACTGATAAGTGGTATAGAAAGGTACTTGCTATTGCT